AACATTAACATTAACATTAACATTAACATTAACATTAACATTAACATGAACATTAATAATAATAAGATTAACATTAAAATAAACATTAACATTAAGTTTAACATTTACATTATTATTAACATTATCTCGCTCTTATAAAAGCGCGTTCGTTGTAGACAGTCATGTTCTTATGTGAAATTTAAGTCGGGTGTGACTCAATATACAAATGTATATACATTAGAGGTTTACGCCGACAGGCTTTGCGGCGGCGGCGTGGGCAACTTCAAAATGAATCGGCGGCGGCGGCTGAAAACGCCGGCGCTACTGCCCATAAGTTAGATTTCAAAGAGCCATGAGGCTACTAATCTTATCACATCATTTCGTCAGCGTTAGGCATTCGCCATGCCAATTCAGATTATAATTCTATTTAATTAATTTATTGAATTAGCTTTAAATTTAAATTACGTTACTTTCTACTTGAATTAAAATGTTGAGTGTCTGGCGCTGATGGATGGGTGAACAGAAGAAGATCTGAGGTATATTCATACCTACACACATGGTCCTCTATGCTCCCTACAGATCGTATGTACTATTTAAATGTCGCTATATATAAATGTTTGCAATAAACTTCTCAACTGTTGTGTTAAATTATGGAGTTCTTACGATTTTTTGCGGATTACATATCGAAAACAAGGTTGGTCTACTTTTTTCCAAAAGTTTAACCCATCAACTCGAACCAGAACGGGCCTTTATGACCCACTGTTTAAAAAATGGCTTATAGATGGTTAAAATTTCCAGTCAATTATTAAGCGACAAATTTTTCTAAGGAGAACCGAATGTAATGAAAAATAATAGTAATTTTTACTAAAGAGGGGGAGCAAAACCGTCCTGGGGCTTTACCACCACTAAGTAATGCTAACGTAATTTTCACAGAGCCACCTAGTACTTGTATACGTACGCAGAATAAAATAATCTACGATTGTAAAAATTAAAAAAAAAAAAAGTGTTTGCTTTTTATTAAAAGTCTGTTTAACATATTTAAAAAAAAAATCACATGAAAATCAACTTGTCTTTGTTTTATTTCCAAAAATTGAAGAGCTAGATGCTTTTGTTAAAACTGCTTTCTGAGATATAGGCGTTGAATTTTTGATGTGTTATGACTTTCTTGTTGTTGTAATATGTGTATAAAAAAGTAGTATTGTTATAGTATTGAAAATAATTGTCTACTGCGGAAAAAATCGTTAGATTACCAGTATTTGACCCTAATTTAACTTTAATAAACGCTTTCGATCGAAAAAAGGTTACCTATGTTTTCCTGAGTTACGCTCTTTTTGCAAAAATAAAGGAGGTCATATTCAGTGGCGCAAATTATGCAAAAAAACTCCTTTAAAAATGTTATTTTCATTTCGTAAAATTGTATTCTTATACGAGTAGTATTTAGTTCCTTCAAACGATGTATTTCAATATGCATACAACATGCAAGTTTTATACAAAATTTCTTAGGCGCCAAACGCCGCCGCGCCGATATTTTCGTAACTCGGCGGCGGCGCGTGAGGAATGACGAAAAACGGCGGCGGCGGCTGCGTGGCTCGGCGGCGTATACCTCTAATATACATATGTATTTATGTTCAATAATATTGACGAAGCCAACAATATTTTCGGAGGCACATCATCAATCTATAATTGGTCCCTGGAAGCTCTGTCGTTTCGAGAAACAATGAAGCCTACTCATATGAATGATCCGGGAAGGGAATTTGAGCAC